CACCTCTCAAGGGCTTTTGGTCCATTTGGCAGTCACATTTGTGAAAACAGGAGATTGATCCACTATTTACTTAAGAGCAGCTGAACATGGGTGCCTTTGGGGCTTGCCAGGGATGCCCCTTGACAAATGTCCACCATTTTCAAGAGGAAAGCCCATGGGCCAGTGAGATGGCTCAGAGGGTAAAGGTACTTGGCACTAAGCCTAAAAACCTGAGTTTGATCCAGGGGACCTACTTTGTGGAAGGAAAGAACTGACTCCAGCAAATTGTCTTCTGACCTCCACACATGTACGTGGCACACATACCCCCCCCATACACATACACACACACACACAAAATAAATAAATAAATAAATAAATAAATAAATAAATAAATAAACGTAATTTTCTTGTAAGTTTAAATTTTTCCTGCCAGGTGTAGTGGTACACGCCTTTGATCCCAGCACTTGGGAAGCTGAAGCAAGTAGATCCCTGTGAGATTGAAGTCAGCCTGGTCTACATGAGTTCCAGGCCAGCTGGGGCTATAGCGAGACCCTATCTCAAAAAACAAACAAAAAAATTTTCTTAAAAGAAGCAAATTAGGATTGAAATACTCCATTTTAGCAGCAAAAGCCACAGAGCGATGAGGAAGAATCCAGGAAGTCCTCTTTAGTCTCCTCCCATGTACCCGCTGCTCACTGTCCATCCATCTAAAAACCTTTCCAGGTTGGGGGATGCAGCTCAGCTGGAAAAGTGCTTGCTGTGCAAGCATGATGACCTCAGGTCCACCCCCAGAACGCACATACTTGTACTTGTAACCCCTGCAGTGGGGAAGTGAAGGCAGGAGGATACCTGGGTCTCACTGGTCAGTCAGCCTAGCTGAATCATGATCTCCAGGCTAATGAGAGACCCTGTCTCAAAATAAAAGGTGGATGGTGCCTGAGGAATGACACCCAAGGCTGACCTCTGGCCTCCACATGCATGTACACACTTGCTGCTCCTTCCCTGTAGGCCCTCTGCATGCCAGCCTGAAGTACAGTCTTGTGTCTCCTCCAGACCATCTCTCTAGACCCACTGTTATTTTATGATTTTTTTTGGTCTTTTTGAGACAGGGCCTCCCTGTAGCCCCAGCTGGCCTGAAACTCACTATGTAGACTAGGCTGGACTTGAATTCAGAGATCCACCTGCCTTCAAGTGCTAGGATTAAAGGCATGTGCCACCGTGCCCAGCCCATATTTTATGATTTTTAAAAAACAGTTTTATTATGACATATTTCACATACTATATAACTCACTCATTGAAATGTATAATCCAATGGTTTGGGGTATATTGTATTATTAATTTTCTAATCTATGATACGTTTCTGTAAGAAAAATTCCCATTTTAGCTGGTTTTGATTGTGTTTTTCAGTGCCTGTAATTATACTGTTAACCACAATTTTCAGAAGTTTCAAAAAACACCCCAAACAGAAGTTCAGTGCTCATTGAGCAGTAACTCTTGGTACCCCTCCCTCCATCTCCTGACCTCTATTCCACATTCTGTCCTATGAATCTGCGGGCTTTAGATGCTTCCTGTAAGTGGACTCACAGTCTATTTGTCATTCTGTCTGGTTAACTTCTTGTAACTTAATGTCTGTAAGGTTCATCTATGTTACAGCATGTACCAGACCTTCACTCATTTTTACTGGCAAATGATGTTTTGCAGTTTGTTGACCATCAATTGACCATCAATCGATGGACACTTGGATTTCTCTTCCCTTTTGACTACTTGAGTAATGAATGTTGGTGTGCAAGTATCTATTTCGACCACTGCTATTGATTCGTTGGGAAACATACTCTGCAAGAACCCCCCCCCTCCTCTCTTCTGAGGCATGATCTCACTGCGTACTTAAGTTGACCTCAAACTTGCAATCCTCCTGCCTCAGCCTCCTGAGTGCTGTGATTCCAAGCACGTACCACCATATCCACCTTTTGGTGCCTCCAGTTCATTTGCACTCAGCTACCACAAAGTTCTTTCATCTTCTTCCTCTTCTTCTCCCCTCCCCCTTCCTCCTCCTTTTTTTCTTTTCTTTTTTTGTTTTTGGAGACAAGACTTCCCTGTAGCTCCAGCTGACCTGAAACTTGCTATGTAGACTACGCTGGCCTCACTCTCACAGAGATCCACCTGACTGCCTTCTGAGTGTGGGCATTAAAGGTGTGCACCATCATGCCTGGCTCTCCTCTTTCTCTTCTCCTCTTTCTCTCCTCCCCCTTCCTCTCCCCCTCCCCCTCCCCCCGCTCCTCCTCCTTCAGTACTTGGGTATCAAACCCAGGGCCTTAAACAATCTAGGCAAATGTATTTACTGAGCTAGTCCCTGCCAACAGTAATATTTTACCAACACATGTGAAATCAATTACACCACCCATCTGCTTACAACCCTTTGCCAGCTTGATATAAAGATGCCCATTAAGGTCTGGGAAGATAGGTCAGTGGGTAAAAGCACAGGATCTGAGTTTGATCCCCAGATCTCAATGAAAAAAAAAAAAAAAAAAAAAAAGCCAGGCAGGTGGATTGCTTCTAATCCCAGCAGTGAGGAGGCAGAGATGGGCAGATCCCTGGAACTAGTCAGCAAGTTCCAAAGCAGTGAGAGACCCTGTCTCAAAAAAGAGTGGAGAGTGGAGGCACCAAGGGGAGTACATACACACACACACACACACACACACACACACACACACACACACG